CAGTCTCTCTCTCTCTCTCTCTCTCTCTCTCTCTCTCTCTCTCTCTCTCTCGCTTTCGCTCTCAATCGATCTCTCCCTGTCCTTCTATCGTCTCGCTCTCCCTTTTGATCTCTTGTTTTTATAGTACACAATTTTTTTTTTCTTTTTCTTTTAAATATACTCTTTAAGATCTATAAAGTGAAATCAATATTAAATTTGAGATTATAGGGGAAATTTTTTCTCAATTTCTCAAGCAAAATTTACAGATTCTGAAAACTATGAAATTTCATGGTTTTCACATTGGCTCCATTTGAAATCATTTATATGTTAGCTTTTGTACTTATAAAATTTTAGATTATTAGTTTAAAAGAATTAAAATAAGTTGTAAATGTGTTTGGTTATGAAAAAAGTTGAACCTATATGGCTAAATAAATTGTCACATTTTTTATTTTTTTTGCAAAAAATATAAAAAATGTCCTCAAAAGTTATAATTAAAACAAATATATGTCAGTTTATTTGTTCATACATATTTAAGGATTTCAATTATGCTAAAAAAACCCCACGTAATGTAGTTCAAAAATATACATTGTCTTTTTTGGGCCAAATTACCTGAAAAATCAAATAAATTATAATTTACAATTGCAACTAAACACCATAAATTAATTTCTTATAAGCAAATAAATAAACTTATTAATAAATAAATGAACTTTGTAAATTCCCTCCCCCCTGGGTGATGCTATATTGTTGGAATTGATGAAATTTAATTGAATTGCTGAATTTTTTTTGATGTTAATGCCAAAAGATAACTACATTAATGTTTTGCTTTAAGTTTTATTTTTATGCATACTACATTACTAAAAATTGTAAAAATAATATTTTTTACGAACATATCTCCGCCGTACCCGTATTCTAATTTTTCAAATTTTGTCGTATCACCGTATCCGTATCCGTATTCATATCCTGTATCCGTATCCGTGCTCCCTAGATTGTACAAGATTGGCTAGAAAATTGAAAAGCTTTCTTGCCAAGCCCATACAAAAATCTCACACCTTCAACAATATTTTGTTTGTCCAAAACATTGTGAGGGAAAATGCCACCTGATTTTCAAAGAAGATTTTTAAATCCTTTATCACAATTTCACATTCATGTGGATGAAGAAACTTAACTTTAGAGACAAATAAAACATAAAATTCCCAAATGCAAAACTCTACACAATCTACTTGCAACTCTTTTAATTCCATTCAATTATATCCATGGAGTGAGAATTTGTTCATGAGGCCACTAATTTACTATCTATGATTGTCCTACATCACATCTACAGCTGCTAACTTAAATAGATACACTCCAACTCCATTCAAAGACGATTTTACTTCAAATAGTTTGTCCTTGAACTAGACCACCACAGCTTTCAGACTATATTCCATGACAACAATGAGAAGCAAAAGAGCATAGATATCAGAATTAATTACATACCTTCTTAAACCTTTCCTTGGTTCGCTCAGCCTGCAATAATAAAAAAAAAAATTTGTTAGTTCATTGGTTCAGTCAATGCAGGACAATAAACAATTTTTTTATGTCACCCTTGCCATAGCTCTGGCAGGGGTGACATCACTCGAGCATTAAAATACCACCGATCACACACAACATTGCAAAACTGGAAAGTACATAAAACAAATTTTAAGATTTTTAACTTCTGCATCCCCAATTAATTCGTTCACAAATACAACCCTACAGCCCACATCAAATGAAAAGAGGAACCCAAACCCACAACAAAGCACTAAAAATTCCACCCTTAACCACTTATTATCCAACTGAAACTTTAGAAGATTCATTCTTGCTAGTACTCCAAATGTCATTCATTTATGTCCATGCAAAGAAGTGGCCGCATGAACAGTTACAAATTAAAAAATTGCACAACTGCAAACAAAAGCTTCTTTGGTCTTCGGCAAAAAATATAAAATAAAAAAAATTATTAAAGCAAATACACTCCATAAGCAACCATAAATTATCATGAACCAATAAAAGAGCAGCTGGGCAAAAAAGAATTACATCAAAGGACACTATTGAGTCATCAGATTTAACTACATTCTTAGTTCACTTCATATTGTTGTTTATGCAATATTCCCTTGTCATATTAGTGCTCAAGATTGCAATTATTGGTGCTTATATATGAGAAATCGAGAATAATTAGCATAAATAATTAATGTAAGAAGGGAGTAACCCAATTATATTAAATGCAACACTGCCTAAAATTACAAAAAAAAATTAAAAACAAAAACAAAAGGAAAAAAAATATGGTATATATAAGAGCAGGGGTTAATTTAGAATGTGTATTTGGCATGAATACTTTGAACAACTCAAACAAGGATATCATGCCTGGATAATAAGCTAAGGGGTCCATATAGGGCATGTAATTGAAGTAAATACTTTAAATAGAAAACAATGATAAAATGCTTTGGCTCAGACTTCTTTTTCTTTTTTACTTTTGTTGCAAGGGGGTGTTGCCTACCGATTTGAGTCAAACTAGTCCAAAAGATGCACGTATTCACTACAAACCACATGCATTGGGTAAGCCAAGTTAGAGTTGATGTTGAACCTCAGATGTATAGTTCAAAAGGATGGCCTAAGCCAACTAACGTACCCGTGCAGATGCAGATTACCAGGAGTCCAGCTAGTGAATTAAAAAGTAGAGACTTAAGGATGCTTACAAGAATTATCTTAGACATCAAACAACAATTAAAAAAAATTGTAAGTTCTTCTATCAATGATATAACTAAATAATTTTAATAAGCACTAAAAAACAATATATTAATAAATTTAACTTCAGTAAGTCTTAAAACGTATATATCAGCAGCATAGATCACTACATTTAATATTATTCCCCCCATCTCACATGCACATGTACAAGCCAGAAGGTGTGTTATGTATTCTTCTCTCATACCAACAAACACATGAATAAGTAGAGCTTACAATAATGCTTCTCCTTAAAACTTGTCTTTAAAGACTTAACAAATAAATACTTCAACACACGTTTCTAACAAATTTTTGTTTGTACTAAACTATTCAAGATAGTTGAGCCAAGGAGTAGAAAATTTAACGCATGTTTTATAAAAGACGTCTACACAATCAAAATAGGTACATAAGAACATCAGATATCAGCGAATTGACAATTCATAATTTTCAAAAGGTTCTTTGGTATGTCTTTTATAAAAATGTTGTAGTTCCATCAAAATTTGAGTAGTAAGTAGTCAGGGAGAACATAATGAAGCTCACAGTTTTTCAATTTTACTGCAAAGGACTGATAATGAATGCTCATTCATAGAGCAAGAAGAGAGTGAAAGCCCCAAATAAATTTCAACTTCACTTACGCTCCGTTTGTTTGGGCAGAAAACATTTTTCAACGGAAAACAATTTCTACGAAAAAAAATTTCCAAAAAATATTTTTGAAGAAAACATTTTTCTATGTTTGGTGGAGGTGGTGGTGGGACAAAGGTGGAAGTAGAGGTGGTGGTGGTGGCGGTGGTGGCAGTGGTGGTGGTGGTGTGGTGGTGGAGGTGATAGTAGAGGTGATGGTGTAGTGACATTGGTAATACTTTAGTCGAGAAAATGTTTTCCGTCTTTTAAAAATAGAAAACATTTTTTGTCCAAATAGACTTATTTTTAGTTGACCATGGAAAATATTTTATGTTGACTTTTATTTTCCATTATACCAAATGCCAAAAAATACATAAAATATTTTTTATAAAATGTTTTATGCCCAATCAAACGGAGCGTTAGCTAAAATCTAAATTATAATTCAAAATAGTAACATGATCTGGCATCTAATAAAATCAATCAAGCTTTGTGCCGCATAGTGTCAACCAATCAAGATGCAACTATGACTTGTCCAATAGATTAAAAGGGAGTACTGATTAAGATGGTTCAGTTGTGGTTACAGTAGTGACAATACCAAATAAGAAAATATGTGTTGTGTTGGTTTCCAATGTAATTCATGGCACTCTTTATCCAAAGAAGTAGGTTTTGACAAGCTGAAATGAAGCTTCCAGTGAGAAGACACTTGCATCTTACAATAAACTTGTAAGGTTCAAGGGTGAACGTAAGGCATGCAACAATTACATCACTGGCAAAAATCTGATCATTAATGAAATATGTCGTCACCCAATTACTTAAAAAATTCTATTCCGATTTTTCCAGGTGTTATATCAAGGTGAAACAAACCCAATTTCCATCCTCCAAATAAGGCCTCAAACTTGAAACATATTCACCAATAAGTTCAAAAGCACGATAGTATTCAACATTACAGGCAAAAACAATTCTAGATAATTTTCAAGATTAAATATTTTACTCTCTTTCAGCAGCTTTTCATTTTCCTCCTCTAATTTCACTGCCAAATATTCTAGCTCAACTTGGTATGCCTACAATTCAAACCATGAAACCATACTCAGTCAATGTATTAACATCACAAAACAAAAGGTTTTCCAAAAAAACAAACATTTACCTGCTTTCACTACGTTGACCGGGCTGCAGACTCTCTGTTCTTAATCATCCTCCGCTGTCTCTGCTGTGCAGCTCTATCCAACAGCTCCAAAACAGCTCGCCTCTTCCCTCTTCCTCCAATCACTTCCACTCCATTCCCAAACCCTTCAAATGAATCAACACTCTGCTGCGATGGAAACCGACTCAGAGGCATGGGATCAAATGCCAAAAAACCTCCGCTCAACCTCTCTCCCAGCGGCGGCACCAAGCGCACCTTCACATCCTCCACCACCACCTCGGCCTTCGCCGGAAATTCCTCCAATGTCGTCACCTCATCTGGCGCCTCCTTCTTACACTCTCTCAGCCCCCTCCGACCAGCCACAATCTCCTTCCACACATCGCCCACCGTCTTCTTCGCCACAAAATTCGACCGAATCATTGGCGTCCCTCCGCCACGGCCGCCACCGTTGTACTCGTTATCACTAATCGCAGTCACGGCTCCGGCGGCGTCCAATAAAGTGATCTCGGCGTCAATCAGCGAGCTGTCGACTGTCATTGAGCCTAAATTGTTGCTGTTTTTGGTCAGTTGTTGATGATTATTGTGATTTTGGAGCTCAGAGATGATGGACGATGATTTTGAGGATGCTGAAGACGAAGTTCGATCCGAATTTCTCGCAGACGAAGGCGCCATCACCTTCGAGAACAATCAAAATTGTCACTCTCTCTAATCTCCATCTCTGAATTTCTATTTCATGAACTGACGATTTTGATTCTCACTCCTAGGGTTTTGGATTAGGACTTAGATTGAGGAATTTGGAGGATATTCAATTTTCTACAACTGTGATCGACTCCTTACATCACATTGTTTGAAGAATAAAGTTAAGGAGAAAGAGAGGGAAGAAAGACCGGGAACCGAAGGAGGATTCTGGAAGTCTGTTACTATATGAATGGAAGGATAGAATGACCACTGTGGCCTGTACCAACTAACTTTTCTCGCATATATTCGGGTTACCGACCCGACCTGAATATTTACACAAACATTTTGTTAATATATGGGTTGGTTTCGGACGTGGGTTGGGTTTTTTTCACTCTTTTAATTTATGACTAAAACGTTTTATTTGGGATGAATTTTTTGGATTATTTTGATTTTTTTAAGAGAAAAAATAAAATAATTAAAATTTGAATATGACATTTTATTTTATTAATTTTTTAATTTATTTTTGTATTTCTATAATTATTTGATCCTTTTAACCTCAAAAATTTCCATGCCAAATGAGGGCATAATTTTTTTTTCCTTATCAATACATCTTCAACGCTTCGTTAGATTTGAATGAAATCTTGATGAAAAGTTTGATTTGATATGATAAACTTCAATGATTTTATCAAATTTGGACAATTAGTCTAAAGTATATTTTCATCAAATTTATCTCAAAATTGGTTGTCTGATAGGATGTTCGGACGGATGTTTGGCCCAACGGTCATCTAAAATTTTGATGAAATGATAAAACTCCTTTGATTTGATAAAAATAAATAAATCTTCCTCTATTTGATATTAATTTAATAAAAGAATTAGAGTTCACATTTTAAATAATTTTTTATTAAATTTAAATTTGATGATAAATTTAATAGAGGATTGGAGCCCAACCCATACCTTTATTTTGTGCTTTCAGACAACTTAAATTGTTATAGTATTATTATACTTGGTAGCAGTTTGTAGTGTTAATATTTGTTTTATAATATTATATTTTTTTAAATGTTAATTTTAATTTATTTATAGGATGAAGTGCTAATAAATTTTAAAATATATTCTTGTGAATTGTTTAATTTTCTTTTTTTTTTATGAATCTAAAAGTCTTATTAAAGTGAAAATTACACAAAATGGTAGTTACTTACATGTTTAGATTTAGTATTTGAAGAATAAAAGTGGGTTTCTCCAAATGTAAAATTACATATTTGGACAATCTGCACTGTAGGTTTTGGATTTTCTCTCTTTTTGACACAAATCCCACATTACGAACAAGAACGTAAAATACTTCAATATAACACACTAAAAAAACTTCTTAATATACTTTTTCCAAACGTAACAACATAACTCTTCAAAAAAAATTCCTTAATGTATTTTTCTCAAGCGTAGTATTCCAATATAATACATTCGAATGTGACACACAAAAAACTCCTAAGTGTACTTTTTCTTAACGTAACACTCCAATCAATGTAATTCCAAACGTAACACTCCAATGTAACACACAAAAACATTAAAAAACTTCTTAGTGTACTTTCTTAAAACGTAACACTCATAGCTTGAAATTATACATTTGCCTATAACTTATTAAGGCATTTTTGTATTCTTTTTGGAATGGTTTAAAGAATCTCACAACCTTTTTTTGGAGTGTTACATTTGAAAAAAGTACGGTAAAAAAAATTTTTGTGTGCTACATTGGAATGTTACACTAGGAGTTTTTTTTTTAGTGTTATATTAGAGTATTACGTTTAAAAAAAAATACACTAAAGAGTTTTTTTGAAGTGTTATGTTTGAGTATTACATCAAAATGTTACAGTTTGAAATTATACATTTGTCAAAAACTTACTAAGGAATTTTTGTACTCCTTTTGAAATGGTTGAACAATCCCACATCTTTTTTTAATGTTTGAAGAACTTCATATTTCAAGTCATTTTTATATTTATTTTAAAATATTTGAAAAATCTCACATTTAAAGTCATTCTAAATAAAAAATGATTTCCATATAAAAATCCGTCTTAAATTTGATTCTTATAGATGATGTATTTACCTTTCTAGCCAAAAAAATAAAAAAAAATAATATAAATAAGGTTATAACCGTAAATTTAATTTTCGAATAATATATTGGAGGACTTATGTGTAGGTCCTAATGAGTGGATTTATTGTTCAATAGGTCCTATGATAATTAATGACATTTTTCATTAAACACTATTTAAAAAATGTTACTAATTGTTAATTTTTAGCGACAATATGAAAATTTTGTCACAAAAAAATGTTACTAATTATAAGTTTTAGCGACAGTTTAAAAAAATCGTCCCAAAAAGAATGTCATTAATTCACAATTTTCAGCAACAATTTAAAAAGTTCATCACAAAAAAAGTCACTAATTGTAAGTTTTAGCGACAATTTATAAAAATCATGACAACAAAAAGTTGCTACTTGTCAATTTTTAGCGACATATGTAAAAAATCGTCACAAAAAAATTATTTTTAGCAACGATTTTATCAAGACTAATTTTCAATAGGACTTGATGGGAATTAAGTCTAATTATTAAGACCTATTGGTAGTTTACCCTAATATATTTATCTTTTCAAAATTAATGGGACTAATTGGTCTATAAAAAAATTATTTGGACTAAACTAATCACTATTTCTCAAGATGGAATTTATATGTAAATTTTCTTTATTTATAATTATAAAATAATAAATAATGTAACTCTATTGAGCCAATGACAGACAAAAACTTATCCAGAATAAATTGTTGAGCAAGTCACAAATGAAAAAACACGTTGTATGGTTATCCTTAACAGAGAAGTTGATTGGAGGGGTCGTTTTCCAATTTAGATGGTTAGCCCCAACTCTCTTACTTAGGAGATTATTATATTCAAAAAGATTATTTTTCTTATTGGGTGCAAATTTTCAACAAATTTGTTTTTTATTGGATAAATTCGACAAATTAAAAGTTTTTTATTGGATAAATTCGACAAATTAAAAGTTTGTAAACGTATGTAAGACTTCTAATACTGTGACGGTATGGGAACGATCTCACGTTTGGTGTACTTTTAAAAATGTTTGGGCAAATTACATATATTCCCCTCAAGATTTAGTAAAATTACAGATAGCCCCCTAAGGTTTGAGAAATTATACATACCCCTGAAGGTACTATTTGCATAACAGATTAGGAGTAAATTGTTATGAAAATATAAACCTCAGGGGACAATTTGTTATGAAAATATAAACCTCAGGGGGTATTTGTAATTTTTGAAACTTCATGGGGGTATCTGTAATTTAGCTAAACCTCGAGAGAGGTATATGTAATTTTCCCTTTATGTTTCATATTTCGAGCCCTATTATTGGATTCGATTCTATCAAAATTCACTAATATTGGGCTTAGCCCAAGGTTGAATAGTGGTTCGATTTGTACACAACCCAAACTTGAGGATTCTATTTAGGAATTTTTGGTGAAAAATCTCTTCCATTGGGCCTATTTTGTGTGAAGCCCACGGAATGAAACAATGGCTCCAAAAACCCCTCAATTAAAAAAATATCATGAACTGACTGAAATGCCCTTCCATTTAAGTGGGGAAGTATGAAACAATTGCACCGTTTCTCACCCCTCACTCTGTTTCATCGTTTGAAAACCCTCATCTCCTCTGAATATCATCATTCAAAAACCCTAGCATCGATTGAAACTAGGAATGGCAACGGGGCGGGGCGGGGCCGGGGACCACCCTCCCCGTCCCCGATCCCCGATGGCCAAAACTTCCCCGTCCCCGACCCCGATCCCCGACGGGGAACCTGTCACAGTCCCCATCCCCGTCCCCAATGGGGATCGGGTTTCCCCGACCCCGAAAAGTCCCCGATCCAACTCTTTCAACATTCAACATCATCAACAGATAAAAAAAAAATAAATAAATAACAGATCATCAAAAAAAACAGATCTGTTTCAACATTCAACACCATCAACTCTGTTTCAACATTCAACATCATCAACATAGATCAACAAAAAAGAATAACAGATCATCAAAAAAAACAGATCTGTTTCAACATTCAACACCATCAACTCTGTTTCAACATTCAACATCATCAACATAAATCAACAAAAAAAATAACAGATCAAAAAAAAAATTTACAGATCATCTACAGATAAAAAAAAAATTATAGATCATCAGATCAAAAAATAATAACAAATAAAAAAAAGAATAACAGATCTTACAGATCTGAGCTGATGAGGGCGGCGGAGGAGGATATCGACGGAGGAGGGCGGCGGTGGAGATCGGCGGTGGAGATCGACGATGTGCTACACTCCATTAGATCTGCCGTGGCGGCGGAGGAGGAGGCTGTAGTGGCCTGGAGGAGGAGGAGGTGGCTTGGAGGAGGCTCCTGCGTCTGTGTCTGTGTGAAGAGAAGAGAAGAGAGAGTGAGAGAAGAGAAGAGAGAGTGAGAGAGATAGACTTACTGCTGCTGAGTTATTCAACACAGGGGTTGAAATATATTTAATATAATATATAAATATAATATATATCTATCATATAATATAGATAGAGCGTGTCAGAGTGTAAGTTAACATATATATAATATATATATATATATATAAATCGGGGGCTGACCGGGGCGGGGGGCGGGGCCGGGGCCGGGGCGGGCCGGGGATGAAATATATATCACCGTCCCCGGCCCGAATGTCACCGGGGATTTATTTTTTAATACCATCCCCGGTCCGTCGGGGGGATTTTTCGGGGAAAAACCATTCTTATCGGGGACGGGGGGTTGGGTCCCCGTCGGGCCGGGTTCAAATTGCCATCCCTAATTGAAACCCTTCTCTGAGTCTCATTAGTCTCGCTCTCTAGAGCTACTTCGTTACAGATTCGTCGATTGAAACCCAAGCAACGTTACAAGCTCGGCGCTTGCGCTCGAATCGAACTCCGTATTTCGCTTTACTCTCTCTCTTGGACACACATTTTGCAGGTGATTTTTTTCCCTTTCTGTTAGTTTTTCGATATTATGAAGTATGTCTGAGTTTGTTTTCATTTTGGGAGTGGTGTATGAGATTACGTTGAGTGAGTAGAATTTGGGATTTTGCGTTACACTAAGGATCATTTGTTTTAAAATTTTTATCACTATCTTAAAATACTTTAAATTACTAAATCATGTGAGAATGTTAAGGTTTAAAAATTTTGAAAACTAATTTAGGTATTTTGGAACGGTGTATGCAGTTTTGCTTCAATTTCGTTG